TGCCAGTTTCCAAGAATCAGTGAGAATTTGTTTTCCAATGCAGTCTCTGTAACTATTGCTATGATAAAATTTATACGTTTAAAGAAAAACAATATGATAGTGAGGACCTGTTTTGTTTCACAGGAACTACTGGTTTTTTGGGGTTTTTTTTTTGTTTTTACTATAAATGTGCAAAAGAGGTCCTGTGAAAAAGGAGATCCTTAAATGGAACAATTCACTGGTAGATTTTTTAATTTAAAGCAAACTTGACCTTGGAATTTGCAAGAAATTTTTTGCAGGGCCTTCTGCGCACAACGTGAACTACCCCATGGCTGCCTGAGACATCATTTCATAGATGAGGTGGAACCGAAATGGGTTAAAATGGGCGAGTGCAGAAAAGGGGGAACTCACAGCATTTCTGAATGCACAGCACAGCGGTTTGGCTTTTGTGGGGAGAAATATTAATTACACCCATTCGTGTTTTCATTACAAGCCCCCCTCCCGGAGTCCGGCGGGCCTCCTATTCCTTAATTCCCACGTCTCGGCCGCGGTTGCACGCGCGCTGCTTTGCGTGGCAGAGCCGAAGGACAGGTGGCAATTCGGATGCGGCGAAGGGGTGGCCGGGCCGTGCTTGCAGGCACTGGCTCGGGTGTGCTACACTGCGGTTCATACGGAAGCCCAGGCTCCTTGTGTCCTGTCTCCTTGCCTCGCGTCCTGTCTGTCTGTCCCTCCTGCCTGGCCGTAGAACCGTGCCGCTCTAAGCCTGCAAGTTTGGAACTAATGAACTGACTGCTGAGCTGCCGCCACGGAGCTTGGTCCCAAACTATACAGTACTTCACACTCGATTTATCTCCAGATGGCGAGACTGTGCCGCCCCGCCGCGAGGGACCACCTCGTCCACTGGAGTGTAAAAGTGGACGGATGTTGTTTTCTTTGCAGATTTGATCATTCTGAGCTGGAAACTTGCGAGGATGATTAGTTATTAGCTCTAATGGGTGCCAATTGAACCAACTGCACGCATATTTTCTCCTTTCATTTTGGAGTCCGAAGGTGTCTCTACGTCACCCGAGCGTGTCTCCTCCCCAAGTGACAGGAATCCAGTCTCTGAAATCATAGCACGCCTTCCTTCCTGGCCCAGAGGCAGTCACATAATACCGTGGCTTATGGATAAGGACAAGTTTATTAGCCCCTGGTCCACTGCACTGAGCAGCCCACGGCACGAAACATCGATCGACTGCGGGAACTTTGGGAACGCCACTTTCAGAACAGGGGCCTGCCAGGACTCCGGTCCGGCCCCGCTTTCCCTGTGACCTCGGCGAAGTCAGGCCTTTATCAAGCACGATGCAGGACACACTAGGGTAATTCGTCTCCTGGACGATCTAATGGAACTGTTGATAAAGGTTAATTCTGTTATCCAGTTTTTCTCCAACTTGTCAGATCGCAGGCGGACAAGTTAATTCCACAAAGGACACTTCACCTGGCTGTCCTGTACCGGTGTTTAGAACGCAGGCCCTTTTAGGGCCTCTTTGTGAACAACCCACGTTCACAAAGTTCTTTCCCCAGTGGCCTCTTTTCATTTCCTTCTTTCCCCCACAAAGCACTTCCTCCCAAAATCTCAGCAGGGCCCCTCTGAGAGGTGATATCTGCAGGCAACTACTAAGGAGATGGAGGGAGGAGCAGGGCCAGGGGAAAGGAGAAGGAAAGTGTGAAAGGGAAGGGGTGATGGAGATGAGAGAGATGAAAGAAAGATGGCAGCAAGAAGTAAGGTGGGGAGGAAGGGAGGGGGGTGGAGAGAGAGAGAGAGAAAGCAGAATGTCTTTGTTTTCACAACTGGGTAGACTGATTCTAACTGAACACCCAGCACTAAACTTAATTGTTCTTAGAAACTGCCTTCCTCTCAACCCAACAGATGGCATGGGTGTGTTTGCTAGCACAGTGACATATTTCACCATTAAAATACCAAAAAGAAAAAAAATCAACCTGCTTGTTAGTTGGTGTACATTCAGTGAAGTTGTTGGATATTTTGAGATAGACGCCAGAGGGATGCATACTTCGTTTATGTAAATTGTAGCAAGCAGCAGCCTGTGACTAAGGCTGTGGTGTAGCCATATACCTGGAAAGCCACCATCTCTTTTTGGAAAGGTGCAGAATGATGATGTGAAAAGAGCTTGGTTTTAATTCTGAGCCAAAAAAAAAAATAAAATGCTAAGTACTCACTGTTCGTTATTATAACATGAAAAGTACTAATCAGATTATGCCTGAAATTGGAATTAGGTACTTCATTTGCAGCCAATTTCACAAGGGCCAGATTTCACTAAGTAAACTGGAATGTGCTGAAACTATGCAATCTAACTTCAGATAAAAATCACAAACAGGTTTAGAACATGAGCTTTGAACAAACAGTCCCCTGCAAGTCCAAGTGAAACATGACCACTTACAGGTCAGATTGTTTGACACCAACATTAGAATTCAGGAAGCTGATGTCGAAAGGGGACAGATTAAAGTAGAGGGGGACTATATATCCTTTAGTGGAGGACGGTGATGGAGTCTGAACTCAGGGCCTCGTGCTTGCTAGGCACATGTTCTTCCACTTGAGCCACTCTACCAGACCTTTTTTGGTTTTGTTATTTTTCAGATGGAGTCTTGTGTTTCTACCTGGGGCTAGCTTCAGACCAAGATCCTCCTACCTACAGCTTCCCACATAGCTGGGATTACAACCATATGCCACCATACCCAGCTTGTGGTACCTGTGATCCTAACTACTTGAGAGACTGAGATTGGGAGGATAGTGGGTTGAGGCCAGCCTAAGAAAATAGTTCACCAGACCCCATTTCCAAAAGAACTAGAGCAAAATGGACTGGAGGTGTGGCACTCAAGTGGTAGAGTGCCTGCCTTGCAAGCTCAAAGTCCTGAGTTCAAACCCTAGTCCCACCAAAAAAAAAAAAGAAAAATGGGAATCTCCCTAATGTTTTGCCTGGGCTGCTCGGGAACCATGATCCTCCAAATCTCTACCAATTGAGTAGCTGAGATTACAGATATGAGCCACCATGCCTGGCCCTTAATTTGAGTTTTAAAATACATTTTGGCCTAAGCAATTTAGTGAGTTCCCGTCAATTTCCTAGTCACTCTGTCCCAATACACCCTCTGCAAGGCTGACTTGTTATTGAAAGAGAGCCGAAAATTGGGATGTTTAAAAATTGGAGCAATGTGGAGTCCCATAGTTGTCCAGGCTGCATGGGGCATGCCACATTTTAGGCTCTCTGAGGCCATAGATCTAAAGAGCATTTGTCAATAAGCAGGAGTTTCTCCTGCAGCTCTAGATAGCCTCAGAGCCATGATATTGGACTAACTTCTGTGCTTTGCCTCCATGCACTTATATTTTGTGGCTGTAACCAGAGTGCATGGTAGAGCACATGGATGAGTTTTATAGCTGTGGAATAGCCAAAAGCATGGTGTGGAACCAAGCCATTGCCGGTTGCTGCATCCCTGACTCTCACTAGTGTGAGCTTTTGCCTACTTTTGTCTGAGCTTGGCCTAATTGTTGGCAGTCGAAGCTCTGTGAATTAGGACTCCACAGAGCTGTCCTACACTGATCCTACAGACTGTTTCCATATGACCTGATAACTCTAAGCTACTGTTTCCTCATACCATTTAACTCAGACCACATTTGAAAGCCTTCCTTGCTCCCATGAAGTGATAGACCTATATCCGCCTGGTTTATATCTACTGTCCTTGGTTGTCTCATTGATTGGACTTAGACTCCATATTGGCTGAAATAATTCTTGTTTGTGCTTTGGATTGCTATTTTCCTAGATAAGTATTGCTATTCAGATGTCAAAAGACTTTTAGCCAGATGCCAGTGGCTCATACCTGTAATCTTGGCTACTCAGGAAGTAGAAATGAGGAGGATAAGTTTGCGAGACCCTATATCGAAAAAAACATCACAAAAAAGGGCTGGTGGAGTGGCTCAAGGTATAGCCCCTGAGTTCAAACGTCAGTACTGAAAAAAAAAATCAAAAGACTTTTTCTTTAATGCACTGTGTGAGAAGCTTTAAATTTTTGTTAGTATAATAAAAACCCTTCCTAAATGACACAACTTTAGATAAGTGTTTATTCTGACAATGAGAAGTTATTGAGGGCTGTTGGCAAGTTGGAAGAATTCATTTTTGAAACTGAAATTGGCAGGAAGTGCTGTCTTTCTCTTGATGCCAACCCCCACCGCTCAATCCTACCCCCTACCCCACCTTCATCACCCTCTGTCAAAGCCAATAAATAACATATTTGGTCTCATACAGTTTTCCTTGAGATAATTCAAATACTGAAGCAGACTTTGAACCTTTCAACTTTTCATAACTGTAGCAAAGACTGTCAAAATTTAAAAAAAGGATTTGTCAAGCACTTTGTGAAGGGATTTCTTGATGATGTTACTGCCTTCCACCTGAATAAGTGGAGGCTTCTCTTGTAGCATAGATTGTCAGATTCCTGTGAGCACCTTCTTAATTGAATGTCAAGATGCAACTCAGTTTCAATAAAAAAAAGAAGTAAGGAAGCATGATACCTGGGGAAAAGAAAAACAAATCCTATTTTTTCCCTAATGTGAATCTACTGACAGATGAGACTGCCACTACCCAGTTGTTGCCCAGTTTCTCTCATTTATTAAATGGCAAAATCCAGGTAAAAGACTAGAACTTTGTTTAGCCCTTAGTTAATGCCCAATCAATGCCTATTTAAATGGAAAGCAGTACTAATGAGCAAAATGATACTATTATTTAGAAGAACACCAATATGCACAATAGTGGATCCCAACTGTTGGAGCCATCTTGAAGGAAGTCTAGAAATCAACCACCCCTCTATCAGACTGGATGACTGACTTCAAATATCACTTATTTGGTGGACAGAAAATTTATAGATCTAATAATAGTATTCATATTGAGTCCCCATAGCACTTTCACAGACTGTTCAATTATGCTTCTATTAATGATAAAAATAAACTTAAGAACATGTTTTATCAACACTTACAGAATGAAGCTCGATTGAGAATAGTAAAAACACTTGAAGACTTTGATCTGGGACCAACTGAAAAGTGTGTGCGAGTCAACTCAGTGTCCAGTGGTCTGGCCGAGGCAGACCTGGAGACTGTCCTGCAATCCCGGGTCCTGCCTTCCAGCCTAATGCTACCGAAGGTGGAAAGTCCTGAAGAAATCCAATGGGTGAGTAGCAAATGCTTTGCTTTAAGACTCTGGGGCAGCTAGGAAGGAATAGCAGAGGAAGGATTGGGATGCCATTGGTTTTGTAAATGCACACACAGAGCAGAGAGGAATTGAAAAAAAAAAAGAGTGAGTACAAGCAACCTTCCCCTAGAATATGGCTTTGCCCAAACTTCTGTGGAACAGCTCACCTTTTTGAAATGATGCTTCTGCTTCCTAATTGAATTTGTGGCATGATCAGAACAACCTCCTCAGTAGCCATCTCAGAGCAATCCCTGGATTCTTGCTTGCCTGAGCATCTCAGTTCTGCTTCCACCCAGCCGGCCGGAAGCCAAGGAAGGGCATGGAGGAGCCATGACGTAAATGGGTCTTGCTGGGATGCATTTGAAATCATCACAGGCAGTGAGAGGACACTAGCCACATAGGAAAAAATGAACCCAACCAAGGGGAGAAAAGGTCACTCGTTAAGGCAACTAGAGGAATAAACAGGAAGCCTTTAACTAGTGGTTTTAATTAGCACAGACATTATTTCCTGAACAGTTCTCTAGTGCGTCCTTTTTAAATTGCTGACAGGTGTGTTTGTGTTTCATGACAGACTTTTCAGCCAATAAAAGCCTGAAATGTAAAGTGGTTGGCCTGTCAAATGACTTAAGAAAACTTTTGAAATGGGCCCAATTATACTACGATTGTTTTAATTGTGAAATGGGGGGGGGGGGTGTGGCGGCTATTTTGCAGGTCTCTGGAATAAAATAACATTTCATTATGCCACTCTAGGGCAGAGCCCGTGAGCTATGCATGCTAGGTGTGTTTGCTGTGGGGATCCAAAGCAATATCAAGTATCATCTCAAAGGTCGTGGACACAACCACAGCAATGTGCCGTGAGCCACTCACCTTTCCAACACGCGTGAATACGGTGCATCTGTACTGTCCAACCAAGTAGCCGCCTGCCACTGTGGCTACTGCGCACTTGATACACGGCCAGTGCAAATTGAGATGTGCTGTAAGTGTAAAGTAAAGTACACTTCCAGTGATTTTGAAGATTTGGTATTCCCCTGGTGGGGAGAGGAGAATGTAAAATATCTCCATAGTTTTAATATCGATTGCACATTGAAATGACACTATTTTGTCTCCATTGGGTTGAATATGAGATATGATGAAAATTAACTTCCCGTTCCCCTCTTGGAGTTTTACTCTTTGAATGTAGCTTCTAGAACATTTAAAATTGTACATGCTATTATAGCGATGTTAGCAGCTATGTGGAATCCTGCAGTCCCATCCTGGGGACCAGTGTTTACTTAGTAAACAGAAGTTCTCCTCTTAAGGTTACCCTGAGACACTGGGAGACGTGGCTCCAGTGTGGTCTCTCAGGGCTCTGACCCCATTCAGATATGTCTTAAGTTGATGGAAATAGACTCTGAAGTCACTCTTCCCTTTGGTCTCAATGTTAATGCCTATTTATCTCCTGCATTACCCTTAATTTCAGCCAGGGGAGGAGCCTGTCACCAGCCTTCAGCTGATGCTTCTGTATGCCATTTCAAATTCTTGGATGTGAGGAAATGCAGAAATTTAAATAGGACTTCTGTTAACAGAAGTCTTTGGGGCTGTTTATTTTTTCCTCTCCGTTTGTATTTATGTGAAGCGTAAAACCCAGAGCCTGATGCACAACTGAAAGATGGGCTTACTTGTTTTCTTTTGTGCGAGAATCTCTCGCTCGCCTTTTGTCGCTAGTGTGGGTTCTTGTTTGACTGGCACGGCTTATTGGACTATAACAAGCGTAACTCTGCCTCTTTTGTGGCGGGACAATTCTCCCACAAATCCCGAACAGTGTGCATTCTTCCAACACACTATTGGGTGTGCACTGGAATTGAAAGAATTGCTGAGCCCTGCTACTTCATCTCCTCCCCAATCTCTTTGTAATTTTTCCCCCTTCTTTTCCTTCCCCCCTCCCCAGTCCCCTCCACCTCGCTGAAATGAACACTTTACCACGCCGGAAACATTTAATCGTCTCCTTTTGAAAAAATTAATTGAAACTTCTCCACTAGTTACCTTTTGTGTTAGTACTTAATGCAATTTTTTAAGAAAGGGGGAAGGGGAGGAGGGGCTAGCATATTTAATTTTTAAACGCCCCTATTGGCTTAAAAACAAAAGACATTTGAGATTTGGCTCAGGAAGAGCAGGGAATGTCTTGTAAAGGTTTACCTAGTTGTAAACTTTATGATTTGTGCAGTTATAATGGTGATCACAAAGAACGCTGCAAGTAGCATTGCGAGTTTTAACGAGCAACGAAAATCTACTCCTACATTCAGTACCCAAACCACTAATATTTCACTACCCATTTGCTAGCTTAATTGTGACATAAATTATGTCTTGTTTTCCCTTGCATCGGATGCTATACATTTGGTGCCCTTCCACAGCAGCCTTCTCTTCACCCTCACTGTTTGGAGTTATCCCTTCCCTTGAAAGTTAGTAAGGATGTGATGGTGATGCCATCTGAAAAGGGAGGGGCAGGGAGCAACTGGGAATCAGTCTTCATTACTGAGAGCTGTGATTTATTTTAGCCTAATTGTAAAGTTACTGCAAATTGCTCAAAAGCTTTTTAAAGATCCCAGTGATTAGATTTTTTTAGAGGGGGGTGCACAGGCGAGAAGGGGGCAGCTAAAAGGGGAAATAACACCTCTAATCCCGCTTCTGGTAAATAGGCTGCCAGCTTTTAAAATGAGTTTCCTTTCTATTAGTCAGAATATTATGCTAAGCCTTAAGCATTAGTTTTTTTATGTTGCCATAGCAGCCTTATTCCTGCAGGGTGGTGACCTGTGATGATTACAGTACAAAGCTTATAGGGTCTTGAAACCCCCTTTGAAGATGAAAAGTCTTTGATGGTTTATATTTATGCAAATCTCTTAGATATGATTTACCCAACTGAGACTGAATGGAGAGATGATTAAAATTCCCTTTTCCTTTGATATCCATTAATGGCTGAATATTCCTTAAATTTAAAATGAATATATATGTTTTCATCTTTATTTACAAAAATATCTTTATCATACCTGTGTTTCTTTTTTTATCTCCCCACATCTTATTAGATCTAGATAGACATAATAGATTTACAATTTAGATTGTGGGTTTTTTCCCCCCTTTTGAAAGGGGAGGTGGGGGGAATCTGTGTGAGAGCTTTTGTATGTTTCCAGATGATAGATTTTGGAATTTGGGCTACCCCACTGGCAGCACAGAGCTAGCTGTGAACTGGTCTCATGGAAAAAATTGGCAAGCTTTGGTCTTCAAAGAATTAAACTTCCTTTTTAAGGTCTTCCTAGGTAAGCTAAAAAATTATGAAGAAAACCCTTCCGAACAAAGGGTAATGGTGCTATAATGACTAACTGTGGATTCCACGTAGAAGGCAGCTGAACAGCTACATTGATGCCAGTGCTGGGCACAAAACAAAAACAGAATGTCAGGTAGAGCGGAGCCTGCATTGTCTTAAGGGCCTACCATTTGCATTGAATGCAGAGAGGGCGAGAGGTGTCACGTAAATATGTTTTCAAGGGAGTCTCCTTCCAGTTCAAACTGCTAGGCCTCAAAATGCTCCTTTGAGGTTAAAAATTTGTAATGCTTGGTGTTTTGCTATTTAGTTTGGTGAGAACTTTGTTATTTTTTTTAATTTCCTTTTTTTTTTTTTTTTTTCTTTTGTGTGGAGGAAAGAGGCTGAGATATTACTTCCTCAGGTCAAAGACTTAAATACTGCTTCTATGTCTACATTTCAGGGACCGTCCTTTTTTTTTTTTTTTTTTTTTTGCCACTAATCACCTATGACACTTTTGATTTTAGTTTTCAGACAAATTTTCATTCCACTTAAAAGGCCGAAAACTTGAACAACCAATGAATTTAATCCCCTTTGTGGAAACTGCAATGGGTTTGCTCAATTTTAAGGTAAGAAAAACATAATGTGGTTACATAAGTTAATATTTTATTTATCATCAAAAGATAACTTTTGTTTTCAATTTTAACATCTACTTAAAATATCTTTAAAAGGATTTACAAGCCAGGTAAACCTTGCTCACCATTTCTTATCTGTAATAGTCCCAAAACAAGGTGGTCAGCATCCTAGAAAACAAAGAAATTTTTATGTCGAAAGGAAAAGCTTCCCACTCTTAACTATTGAAACGAAATTTTTGTATATTCCTAGTAATAGTTTTAAGTAAACAATCACTATATAGATATATGCTTTGAATCATTACACTTATAGGTTAAATGTACTTGGAAAATTTATTTTGTCACTGTTAAGAATTAACTGTGTTCTTTTTCTATTCATCGCCTTTCCATCTGGAAATTTTCTGGCTTCTTTGTAAGAGCTTTATCTATAATGTCTAGCAGACATGGTGATTGTTTGTAAGTTCATGTGCAATAATTTGTAGACTATTATTTCAATTTGCTATATTCGAACATAAAATAGTTTCTAATGAACATTCAGGAAGATTGACTGAGCCATGTGTTTTCAACCATGGTGTGATTGCATTAAATTACCTGCCTTACCAGATTCATGGCTGGCTTGTTTGTGCATTTATATTGTTTTCCAAAATATGCCTCTCATTCCATCTGACCTGTGAACAGCTACCTAGCACCCCTGTACCTTTCTCTCAGAGTTTCTAGTCCTCTTATTTTTTTTTTTTCTTACACTCCAAAGGACAGGAGAAAGAAATCACTAAAAACAAAGGGAAAGGTAGTTGATCTGCACTGGAGAGACATGTGTGAACAAATGCTCAGAGGAGGCTCTCACACCCGTGAGAAGACAGGAGGGGCTGGGTGCAAAGGTTTGGGGCTCGTGATCAGCTCACTTACACAAATAACCACAGACTTTTCCAGCCCACTCTCCAACCCTCTGCATATCATCAAAAGTACATCCCTTAGATGCAACCAGACACATACAGTGATTCAGTTTTAAGCACTGTTTTGCCATTTTATTCCATAATGTACTTAGGAGCCCCTACAACGCCTGAAATTAATCAGGTGTCCCCACCATTCCTCATTTCTTTCCCACCCACATATATATTAGCAGGTTACATCTCCACCCTCTGAGATTCACAGTTATGTCTCCGACAAATGTTACTAATCTTTACTTTCATTTAGAAATGTCAAAGTTGCTCTATTAGCACATGAAGGATGACTTGTTGCATTTTTATTTTCCCCTGTGAAGTTGTAGGTTTTGTATGCATGGCTTTAATTCCAAGACCATTTACTTGAACCCAATGCAAATAATCCAATTAGTTTGACTTTAAAATTCTTCTCCTGTGGTTTTGTATTTATTATCTAGGAGTTTCTGGAAGCAAAAATAAATTTTGGAAAAAATGTAAATAACAGTTAAATCAAAATGAGTTAACTCAAAGTTTCTCTAGAAATTGGATGACTTTTGCAATGTGAACAATATGACTATATTATTACATAGGAAGAGCACATTAATATAATCCATTAGGCAAAGCAAATATATACAGGATACTTATTCAGATGATATTAACTGCCTTTGGGAAGAGTTAATTTGGCTACTTCAGCCAAGCTGTGTTAGGAGCTGGGTCTCTGCTCCTGAGATGCACGGGGTTCCTCTCACAAGTGCATTTCTGTGAGACTCAATTCTGTTCTCTTTTCCAGGCAGTATGTGAAGAAACACTAAAGATCGGGATGCAAGTGGGTCTTTTTCTAGACGCAGTTGTTTTTGGAGGAGAAGATTTTCGAGCCAGCATAGGTGTCAAAGACCTCTCTTTCGTCTTCTGTGTGTGTGTGTGTGCGTGTGCGCGCACACGCCTGTATGAATGCATGTGTATACTGTATGTAATTTTTTCTTTGCCCCTCACAAACGGGTATTTACATAACAATGCATATTTACCAACCATGACAAAGGCTTTTCATGACAATGGAATGGACACCACTTCCTGATAATTTAGGGCTCCATGGAGCTGTCCTTATAGAACATTACATTTTCACTTTTGTTCATTTATAAAACAACTAATAAAAAGCCTGTTGCCACCTCAGGCATGTTCAAGAATATAGACTCTACTTTGCTTCTAGTATACATACAATGTTTTGTCTTCACGCCGTCAACGGCTGCCTGGGCCTCTAAAACAAATGCAAAGCACTTTCACATTGGCCTTAATGAATACTTTTCTATGTTAGATGTTTTAGGCAAATATTATTTCATATAGATTTAAATTTACTTTAAAATGTATTTCAGAACCCCTGTTATTAAATATGAACTGAGGCACTGCTAGTTTCCACTGATGTTCCCTATCCCTCGAGCCTGAGCTCCTGGCCAGGGTTTTCATATAATTGGGGGCTGTGAGGGCCAATGCCACAAGAATACATTTTGAGAACCGCATCCCAGTGACCTGGAGACACTTGCTGGAAGCAGTGAGTGTCATGGTCCAAGTGTAAACAGTGACATTCCCCTCCTCCCTTCAGGATGAAAAGAGAATTTATTTTAATACCCATCTTCCCAGACTTTTGTGTATACTACAATCCAGTGAACTACAGAAGCCATAGCAACACTTTCTGCTTCTCTCAGAATGAGTGCCCTACCCTTACTCCCAAGTACTCTATCCAAACCCTGGAGCTGAGGCGTTTGGCTCAGGACCTCAGATGGGATGGAGCATTGCAACCCCAGCGTACTTGGGATGAGCCCAGCATGTGCCATTCCGTACTTAGTACAAGAAGTGAGTCGTTTCCATGCACGGCTTCCTGACCACTTTTTATGATGCTATCTTTGGATTGACACTTTCCAAGTCATGACAAGAAGGAAAAAATCTCTCAGGAGTCACTGTGACCCTGATTCCCCCCTGCAGTGGTAGCGAGACCTTTCCTTGAGGCAGGTAGAAGTGATTGTATTGAAAGATGCCTCACCAGTGAAGCAGACACATCTGCAGCATGGCTTTGCCTCCCAGAACCCTGCCCGGCTGTATGTTTGAATAATTGTTTTTGCTGGGAAGCAACTCCCAGGGAGACATAGATGTCTTTCCAAACTGAGTTTTTATAATAAATATCTGATTTTTGTTTCCAAAGTTAAAGCCTCCTTTTTCTGTCCATATCCCATTTTCAGGTGCAACAAGTAGTAAAGACGCCCAGGACATTCTCTACGCCCGACAAAAGATTGTGGTCGTAGCAAAGGCCTTTGGCTTACAAGCCATAGATCTGGTGTACATTGACTTCCGGGATGGAGACGGGCTTCTCAGACAGTCCAGAGAGGGAGCCGCCATGGGGTTCACTGGTATGACTCCTGATGATATCTTAGAAAGCAGTGTCTAGGTTAACAGCATCCCAGAAAAACAGAAATGTAACCAGAAATTGTGCTTGTAATGTCATCAAAGATATCTATACAGGATTTATCCTACTATTTGCAACAGAAAAAGGCCAGGCAGGGCAACAGCCACTGGGTAAATTAACATGTTTTTCCTGGCTCACAAATCAAAAAGTAAATCACTCATTTTATTTTCTCTATATTCACTAACATTTTTCTATCTTCAGATGTTTTATTTTAGTTTTGGTTGATTCCAGGGAAGGGATGAGGCTGTTAAAGATGCATTTTTGAGTGAATCGCCATTAAGAATTTAGGTTGATAGGTAGAAGAAAATTTTCCTAAAATAGTCAAAACACTAATTTTTTCTGAAAAAAATGTGATATATTCTGTGATTTGATCTGTACTCATAACTAGCTTTTTATTCTTCAGCCACTTCAAATCCCTCCTTCCTCTCCTATCTCCCAACACGTATCTGGGCACCTGGCGACACCTATGGGCATTGGCTGGCACTGGGGTCAGCATGCCCTCACAGTCTAGTTTAGGGTGCAGGCAGCTGATAACTTGTGTACCTGATCACTCCCATCCCCATGAGCCCAGGACACAACTAAAAACTGTTTTTATAATAGAAATCTACTTTTTTAAAAACCACAGTAGGGTTCTATGTGTAAACACATGTATGTTGCACACATACACACACTGGCAACATGGAAAAAACACCATATGCTTTTATTCTTGTTTGTTCTTGTATTGAAAGTTCTAAGAATATTAAAGCTAGAAATATATTCAGTAATAAAGAAATAAAGCAGGCACCCTGCTGTCCCTTTTATAAATGTTTTAATATTGTAGCTAGTTAGGGTTTACTCATAAAGTACCCTGAAAGATAAAAGATACCTGAATAGAGGATGATTTAACCATAAACAAAATCAAAACACTTAAAAAGCAATGTTATAGTTATGTTAGAATTAAATAAAGCTCTGACATTTGCATTTTTAACATAGAACTAAAATAAACATAAACCCCCAGTTTTTAAAATAAAACATAAACAAATATAATCCCTTGTAGAGAAATGTTTTCAGTTATCTGAACTGTTGGTAAGTGTGTCCTCTCTGCATTTAGCCGTGACTGAGAAAGAGTCCCCCTACCACATCAGGGGGATCATGCTTGTCCCTGCCCCCTTCTAACAACTGCTTAGGATGTGGCCCAAATGGAAAAGTTGGAGGAAAAACTCCATGAAATCTATCTAATAGACTCGGATGTTGTTGGCCTAAAATGTGTAGCACTGGCTGCCAGGGAGCCAGATGTGGCCCTGAAATGGGAACCAATTCAACAGAAGAGAGAGCCCTGGCCTATGCCACCAGCCCCTGGTTAAAACCTGGATTTCCTCAGCTTCTTTTTGGTCCTGTGTGCCTCAGAGCCTCTAAGAGGGCTGGAGCATTTCTCTAAGACACAGGACTGAATTAAATTGGTCCTGAATTCAGTCACAGAAAGACAGGCTATTCCAAATCTGGTTTACATTTCTAGACTGTGGCCAACTCAGCACGAGGAACGTACGGACCTGGCTCTATTGCTCCTCCACAATGGCGAGCATTAAATCACAGCACAACAGAGACAGGAGAGCAGGGAGGAACTGGGGCACAGTGCCCATCACATATTCAAGTGGACACAGCCGTGAATTGGGGGCCACCCTCCATAGCCACTTGGCAGTTTTTAGAGAGAAGGTCTTTGTGGTCCCAATTATATTTCTACATACTAATAAAAGCTAATTAAAAGATATGAGATTATTTGTAGTATTTGTTTAAAAAATAAATGCCTTTACTGAGTATTTTAGACCACTGTATTCTAGTAGAATAGTAGGACTAGTTCAGCATCTAATTGCCGTTCGGGAGCCCTCACAAGAGAAGGGAAGAAAGGAGGACGCAGGGAGGAAGTACCGCGCCCAGCTCTGAGATACTGATCTGGAGCAGGTGGTAGGAAAGTTTAAAAGCTAATGAAAGTACTGTGTTATATGCATAACACTGATAAGGAAGATTGAGTCCGGGCTATAAGGAGTTTCTGTACTTTTTAAAAAAATTATATCTTAATGAGTTGGATTTTTTTAAAGTTAGTCATATCATATACCAGTGAGCTATTGTTTCTTTTCTTCAGTCATTATCTCCTGGACTCACAGTTCATGTTGATTGATTTTAAATCAATGATTGGCAATATAAATAGCCATTAACTTTGAGATTTTCTAAATAAAAAGATACCCAAACTCAATCTTGGAATAAAGCTTTACCAGCTCACTTAGTCATTACGGTTACTCCAGTACTACATGCTGAGAAGAAAGATTACAAATATGAACCACTATAGGTTTTCTTTCTTTTGCAGTCTTTTGTAGAAGACAAAAATGACACCATCATACAGTTACCTAAAAGACTTGACAGGTATTGATTTAAAGCAAGCTATATCAAGTGCTACTGTAAAAAGGATTTCATGGTCATAAATTTTAATGTCGTCCAATTTTGCACCCTCTCAGTAACTTGTCAATAGCAACTCTTCTGGATAAAATATTTCCTTCGTTCCCACATGGCATTGAAGCTTGTCATACAGATGTTGGAATACATATGGTGCAGCAAAAGAGAACTTCACATGTGAATGTACATAGATTTCTAAACCTAATATACATCTTAAAATCAGCCCGATTACCCCAGTAGAGGTACCTAAGAGCTCTCAGAGAATTCAGAGTATTCTAAGTAGTTTGTTTGCTCCTCAAATTATAGGGCCTATACCAAGAAGTTCCCATGAAATCTGCCTTGTTACAAATCCGTGCAAATTATGTACATAAATTGCGAAATTCAGGGCTAACAATTAGTAGAGAATGACTACCAGAACTGACATTTTTTATTAACAATATTGTTATAATTATTAGATTATTTAAGTATAATCTCAATACCTACTATTGAAAAGAGTTCTCGTCTGTCAACTCATGCTGTTTCCAGAAATTTATTTTTCAAATAATTTAAAGCACCTTTATTTATATAGGTTTTTAATGTGTTATTACTGTGCCAACAAATAAGAATGAAATAACTATGTAAGGCTGTTTTAATTATGCCATGGTAAAGAAAAGATATTGTTTTATTTCTCCACTTAAACTACTTTTCATGAAATACTAAAAAAATTTAATATTTTTTATAAATATTGTTCCTTTTCTACTCAACAAAATAATGACAGTAACAGAAATTTATAAAAACATTTTATAAATTTGTAAAATTTGTTTAAAAATTATAAATTTATAAAAGCATTTTTATAAAATAGCCAGGATATAATTTGTATTGGCTAAATATTAAAACGACTATTTCAAAAACAAAGCAAATTGCTATACCCACGAATATATGTAGCAGAACAAATGACATTAAGTGTATATTCACTTTTAAAGAGGCAGATTATTTCCACAACTTTATCGTCATTATTATAACATTAAATTGTGTTGCATTTTATTAAAGATTTGATTCTATACTTCCCTGATTGTTAAATTGTTTTTAAACAACAGCATGATTTCTTCTGGGGTATGTAAGATGCTGTAAAGAGGAAAATAGCCCACCTTTGTTCCATAAGCAAAGGAGGAAAAATCTGGATATATCTTTGGTAGAGAAATTTTCAGTAATTTTTTAATTAAAAAATGTTAGTAGAATAATATAGAGGACACACTGTTCAAATCTGCCTTCTATTTTACTCATAGATAACTTTTATTGAAATAGACATATGTTAGAAATGACACATGTTCATCTTAAAGAAAATTAAATGTATCACTGTAAGACACTTTGATATTAATATGGTGCTAATGTCTGCTTCCGTAAGCTTTATGAAAACTGACATACCACTTCTACAAGAACTCATGGAAGGTGGCATAATCCCCAAAATAAGCAAAAGACAACTTTTAAATTTGAGAGAATTCTCATTTAATTTCATTCTACGTTAACTCAAAATAATCACTCTAATTTGCAGACATTATCCTTTCGAGTCCCAGGCACACCATAATTCAACATGCTGCCTGGTCAATCCACCTGTGACTAAAAATGAGAAATTATCTGCATGGAGATGGCATTTCTGTAGGTCTGAAGCACAATTACTTCCATTGTCGTATTTGTTAGTATGTGGTATTCTGGAAAAGCCTGCCTCATCACGGGTTTGGTTTGGTTTGGTTTTTCTTCCAAGAAGTTCTAAGTTAGTTATTTAGAATGTGGTCTGAGAGGCATTCAGGAACCTCTTGCAGCAGGCACATTTTGTTTGCACATCTGTCTGTTGTGTGAGGTTCTGCTGTGATTACTTTCTTTGCAGGTAAGCAGGTGATTCACCCTAACCAAATCCCTGTGGTGCAGGAGCAGTTCACCCCCTCCCCAGAAAAAATCCAGTGGGCTGAAGAACTGATCGCTGCCTTTAAAGCGCACCAGCGATTAGGAAAGGTAAATGTTCTGTCGATGCCTTGGGTGCAAATGGCTTTAAAATACTTTGGGAAGAATGAAAAAGTATTGTTTGAATGGCTTTAGGAAAACTCATTGTATTAGAGGGGAGGTGAAGGAGGGGACAGAAACGAGTCATCAGTAAGAACTCCCTAAATACCTCACTTACTGGCTCTCAAATCTCTCACTTTATTCTTGTCATAACTATATCAGCATCCTTAGAGAAGGGAGAAGTGCGTTTAGTTCTTTCTCTGCAGAGTTCCATGCAGCATTCATATGAAAATAATTTTAGATCAAAGTGTGAGCAAGTAATAATGAAATAAACACAGTTTGACCAAATGGTTCTTGTGGAGAAAAGAAATAAATTCCAAGTTATTTTAATTTGGGGGGAAAAAGTACAAAAATCTCCTCTGGTTTAGTCACTGAAGAGTAGGAGGTTGTATATGTGTTTGTACCAGTTTCTAGACCTGAGATTTGGATAGAATGGAAAGCAAATTAACACTGGAGAACGGTTGTTCCTAATTTAGTGCATCATTGAGCCTCGCGTTTCCTGCTCTGTGGGTTTCTGCTATGTAAATATTGCAGTGGTAATGCACAATCTGTCTCCACTTTGTGCCAGTAACACTTAAATTAGGTGTCGCCTGAAGGAGGATTTTATGCTAGTTGCAGCATTGTCAGTTAATTATCTTAAAGGTTATTTGCAATAATGCCGTTTGCCTCTTTTTAAGAGGATAGGAGGGAAAGTTGCATTTATAAATCTATCCTAGAGGTAATCTCAAACTCAGCCTGACTTCCATAAGGAACAGTTTTGAGGGTTTCAGTGCAAAATTTCTTAGGAGAGAAAGAATATTGAAGAATTATTAAGGTTCTAAATGTTAAACAGTTTCCCTTTAAAAAAAAAAAAAGACCAAGAGGAAGAAGAAAAATAGGTTCAGTGAGGAACCTCTGACATTCATGTGAAATACATCCCTTGCACTTTTACTGGCAGCAAGAACTCCTAAAAATCCCAGGACTTGTAAAAGTGGGTAACAATATTAAATGAGTCAGTCCCCATGAATCTCTGCCTTCAACCCTAACTGTGACTGCATTCTCTCTCCCTCTCCCTCTCTCTCTTTCTTTCTTTCTCTCTCTCTAGCTCTCGCTCTCACTCCTTTCTCCCTCCCTCCATGTCCCTCTCTCATACACACAGGCTTATCTTTACACAAACTCACATTTAATATCCAAAGAATATGTTACATTGGAAACATCCAGTTTGGACATATAAAGCATTCTTTCATTTCACATCCACAATGACTATCAGAAAAATAATGCATTTCTTAGAAAAATATTTTTTGTTTGTTTGTTTTTTGGTGGGACTGGAGTTTGCACTCAGGACTTCAAACTTGCAAAGCAGGCATTCTGTGGCTTGAGACATACTTCCTTCATAGAAAAATATTTTTAAGTTGGCATTGTGTTGTATGTCCATTTCTACATCTGAACTCAACTCAAGATCCCCCATGAATAAACATAGATACTGACCTGAGAGAAGAGCCCTGGAGTCTTTCACTCATATGTGCAAACACCCACTCCACTCTTTCACATACCTACACACACACACACACACACGCACGCACGCACGCACGCGATCTTTCCCTCTGCTTCCTGACAATGCCACTGAGGATGTAAATGTGATAAACACTTCCTACTGAGATAGGAGATAGTAAACTGAGGCAGTATGTGCTTGACAGACAGAGCAGAGTTCCAGTGGGGGCAGAAACTGCCTTTACTACAGTTCAACTGCCTTTCACACTGGGTCACATCAAAGGTGGCCCAGTTAGGAGATAAAAGAAGTTACCCTAAATTTTACCAGCCATTAAACAAATGTCAAACCAGAAGCATCTCCCCGCCTTTGGCATTTCAGTTATTGAATGAGGAAAATGACCCTTTTCCATTGTTTCTTGAAAATGTTGTTCCCTGGGAAAATTGCCATGCCTTTTGATTATGGCAACGTAAATGTTAAATTCTGAGCTTTGTTTTGGTTGTTTGTTTGTTTGGGAGGTTTTTCCCCAAATAAGAAATGCCCTCTTGCTATGTTGGGCATAAGCTCTCACAACAGTGTGGCAGGATGGTGTTTCTTAAACAGAACCATAGAAACTGGAGCAGAGAAGAGCTGACTGCCTATGAGGCCATTTCTTCCTTGCCTGGTTCGTGGAGGTTTGTGTCCTATAGCAAATTCTTCTGGTGCTTTCTCCAGCAAGGTTCAAATAATTCAAATAATGGGGCTTCCAGCAGAGACGTATGGTTATTTTATCCAGTTAGCATATTTCTTTCACTCTGCCTATAAACTGGCTGGTCACAAAAATTGAGACTGCAGGTAGGTGATCTAGGTCTTGAGAGGTTCTTGGGGTTTAAATAGTGTGGGTTCTATCTACAAAGATTTTGTATAAATGGGTTGCTGAGTTGTAGAAAGTATCACCTCCAACAAATGTCTAATCTATTTTATTTCAAATGTGAATCACTGATAAAACATAAACTCTCAGATGCTCTGTCCAAAGCGCAGGTGACTTTCAAGAAGTGGAAACTTATGGCTTGTACTCTATGAAGAAACTCATAAATTTCTAAGAGACACCCCCCCACGCCAACCCCACCCCATGAAAATTTTATTCAAGTAATGTTTTGAATAGAAATGATCCAAGAAGGTATAATTATGTATCTTTGCTTTTCTCCATTTCTTCCTGCTCCCACCTTAAATTATATTCTGCCTGAGACCAAAGATATAGCTGAAGTTCACAGTTAATACTGAGTCATTTGTGTTTTCAGTAGTAATAAGAATTATTGTTATAGTTACCCAAAAATAAAAAGTCCTACTTTTCTTCCTGTCCTCGACAAATGTCAAAATTTGTGGGACTACTTGGATCATTAGCAGATAAGTTACTGGGGTTCAGCCTTTGATAACACAGAATTTTGTCTTCCTTTTCAATTAGAAGCTCTGTAGAAATAAAGTTTGATGCCCTTAGTGTAACATTGGGCAAAAACCACTTTACATTAGAAAAATAATGATAATTAGTTCATATAACCTAGTACTATTTGACAGGTAATGATAGTTGTGGCTGCATTACTTCAGCAAACTCAAAGGTATTTTCAGGCTGAAGAATTTTACCTGGCACAATGCTCCCCACTAATAAAAATGAGGGTAACAGACCAACATCAAGGAACCGATATTGTCTTCTCTTACTATAGTCTGTCAGGAAAAGTGTAGACATTCTACATAATCGGTGCTCCTATTTTCATTCCCAGAAGCTATAATATTCATAACATAGCTGGCATCATTTGTAAGGTATCCACTAGACCGATTCTTCCATCCTTCCAGAAGAATGTATTCTGAGCTGCAACTTAAATATCATTCATTATTTTAGTTTCTAATTATTTGATAAAGAGTGTTAGACAGAATGAATCATTTCTATGTGATTCATTTTAAATTTACAAAAGATTTTCTTAAAAGATAATTCCACTTTGATATCATTTTTTCATAATAATGGTGATTCCAAAAATATTTGCAAATTCTCCATTGAGAACCGAAGAATTAGATTTAGTATTATAGAACAGGATTTAGTATACAGCTTTAATAGTTCTTATATATAACTACTAGTTTACATAGTATGAAAATGAAAACATCTCAAGTAAATAATTAGCTAATTCTGATATCAATAGAAACTATAATTTATAGCAAAGTAAATACATGTAGCATATATATTAATGCTATACATATATTCAAGTATATTTGATACTGTGTATGTTTCACATCTGAATTGTGAACTGTTAAATTTTTCTCTTTCCTTATTCATCACTTATTAGGCAGAAATGACAGCTAAAGGAGTCAGTCTGTTGCTTTTTAAAAATAACTATTAATCACAGCAAATCTTAACATGAGAATTACCATTTCTTTCCAAATGGAAACACCACCAGAAAAATGTGAAGGAATAGCAACTATATATTTATATACACATATAAAATATATATAAATATATATACATAGTACATGCAATAGACTTTTTAAAGGAACTTTGCTAGAATATGTGTATTTCTGCACTATCTGACTACAAACATGACTTTGCTTCACTTTCAGCTTTCTGAGCTTCTGTCTTGTTCATGTCATTGATATAAGTACTTGAGCTTGGGAGGATTTTGTCTAACTTATCAGTATTTTTCATCCATTATAGCTTTACAAGCTGACTGAACATCAAAGAAGGCAAAGTGTTAATCTTTAAAATCTAGGTTCAATAACAAAATCTAGGTCAAAAACAAGGACACTACTTGACATAATGACTGTAAATATCACACATAACCGAAACATCTAGTTTCATTCTTGAGAGAATAGTACTACAAATTAATGAGTTAACATTAATAAGTGCATCCTATACTGGAATATAAATTAAGAACTTATCTCTTAATAAAGAAAACAGAAAGAGTTGTTTTCCTCATTCAAGTCTTTTTGTCTAGAAAACTGTATACAGTAATAAATCCCCCCTCCCAAATATCAGAAACAAATTATTTGCTTAGGTATCTGATTGCATCTCTCACACCTTTCCTTTATGTTTCCAAATGCAGAGCTTTACAAAAGAAATACTGTCTGGTCCAGATGGCCTTCTCGAAGGCTCCCTGAGAGAACTCAAGAGAAGTCTCTCTAGCCAAAAATATTGTTTCCGCTTATTCAAGTGCCAGAAATCCCACTGCCAGCCTTTCATGCACATCAAATAAACCATCTAAAGATTTGGTTGTTGTCTTTGTCAACTGAAAGGGTTGATTCCACTAATAGATGACGCTGTACCCTCCCCCCGCCACCCACCCCACCGCCCACAGCCTTTCCCCTTTATTTGTGAGCAGGGACACTCAAATCAGAATCTAGTGACTTCTGGTAAAAATGAAAGATGAAGGACAGACCTCTACTTTTGAGAGTCTGAGTAATTGCTTTCTTCCCTTTATATTCTTGTTCATGTAGTATTTTCAGAACTGGACACCATAAT